CCCGCCCCGGCTCGGGCCACCCTCCGCTCCCGCACCGCTCCCGGGATCTTCCTCTAACGCACCGACACAGCCCTTGGCTGGTGGCACTGGGGTGACAGGGAGTAGGGATACTGGGAATGGAGATACTGTGGGCACTGGGGATACTGGAAGCGGGGATACTGGAAGCACTGGTGTGACTGGGAGTAGAGATACTGGGAATGGGGACACTGGAGGTATTGGGTGACTGGGAATAGGGATAGTGGGAGCACTGGTGTGACTGGGAATAGGGGTACTGGGAATGGGGGCACTGAAGGCACTGGGGATACTGGGAATGGGGACACTGGAAGCACTGGTGTGACTGGGAATAGAGATACTGGGAATGGGGACAGTGTGGGCACTGTGGGGACTGGGAATAGGGATAGTGGGAGCACTGGTGTGACTGGCAGTAGAGATACTGGGAATGAGGGCACTGGGGTGACTGGGAATGGGAACACTTTGGGCACTGGGCTGACTGGGAATAGGGATAGTGGGAGCACTGGTGTGACTGGAAATGGAATACTGGGGGAAACTAGGAATGGGGGCACTGGAGTGACTGGGCATAGGGATAGTGGGGGGCACTGGGAATGGGGATAACTGGGGTGACTGGAAATAGGGATACTGGAGAAACTGGGAATGGGAATACTGGAATGACTGGGAATAGGCATAGTGGGAGCACTGGGGAAACTGGGAATGGGGACACTGTTTTTAAACCCTTGTCCTATTGCAACAGGCCCTGCTCAAAAGTCTGTCCCCATCTTAGGAATCCTCCCCCGAGGACTGAAAGGCCCCAGGCAGGTCCCGTCGTTCCCTTTTATCTGCAGTGTAACAAAACGACACTGTTGCTGCTTCTTCTCCCTCTGAGTTCCTCACCTCAGAGAAAAGCCTTGAGCTGTACCAACAAAACCAGATAAATGAGTGGACGGTTTCTAAAGCTCTGCTGGGATTTTTCCTGGTAACTCGTGTGACAAATTCTCTTTTAGCGACATGAATTAACCGACAGTTTGGCTATCTGCGTGCCAAATAAAAGGAAACATCAAAGCAAAGCATAACAAGAATATTGACCATCTCTGGGTTTTTAATTATTATTTTAAACCCCACTTGATTTACCCCTTCACTGTTTAGAATATGAACCAGTAGGTCACTTCCACATCCAAGATCTATAAATGACTTTTTTGGTCAACTCTTTCTTTTTTTCTTTCCAAAGGATCACCAAGGAAGCTGCTGCTGCTCGGGTGCTTTGGTTTCACTGCTCAACCCTCCTCTAAACCCAGCTCTGAGCTCTTATTTTGCCTTCCCAGTAACTCACAGTGGGATTACTGGTGGTTGTCTCCATCCCTGGGTGCCCAGGCTGGGCACTCCAGCCTCAGGCTTACGTAAGGGGAAGATTTGGGGAGGTTCTTGGCATAAAGTGTCTCTAATTCAGTGATTTCTCCTTTCTCTAGCTCGCCACCCACTGATAATAATTCCTTGCACATCGGAATGGGTGTGTGATATTTAGTGCAAAAGCTAAAATAACAATTAGGGGGTCAGTGGGCTGAGCTGGGATGATTTTTACTGGTGATTGTTAAATAGGTTGGACTGGAGCCATTTCTCTTATGGAGGAAGTAACACTTAACCCCCAATAAATGGGGAAAACTACATGTTTGAGGAGGTCAGGGGTTCAAAAAGTTCCTCTGCATCTCTAAGGAAGTATTTAGACAAAAGGTTTTCCTACCTGGGATGGGAACTTGTAGCTGTCCTGTGTGGATCTGGAGTGGCTTTTGTGGTGGCTCTCCCTGGTAGCAGCTGTCCCCAGAGCTTCAGGATTGTACCTGGAGAAGGTCAGACAACAGCAGCGTTGGATTTAATGTAGGAGAAGGTCTGTGCACCAGGCAGCTGATGGATTTTTGAGGAGGAACTGCAGCAATTCAGTTTGCTCCTGTCAGACAGTTGTGGTGCAGGGAGGGTTGGAAACTGCGCTCGGTGCTGTCAGGCTTTCTCCTGGGGGTCAGTCATCTCCTGGGTTCTTGTGGCACGTTGAGTAGCTTGTGGTGTTTGTTGTGTTGGGTATTGCTTGGTGATGGCTTCAGAAATGGGCTGGTCCTTGTGATTTGGGAAGGCAACATAAATGAGAGAGAGGAACACTGTGGGGAACATCTTGGCCTGCTCTGGCTCAGAGGTAAAAATAAGGTTTCAACTTGGAGAGGATGCTTTGGCCATTCACACCAAGAAGGACATGGAGGTGCTGGAGCGTGTCCAGAGAAGGGAACGGAGCTGGGGAAGGGTCTGGAGCACAAGTGTGCTGAGTTCCCTTGTGGCTGAGGGAACTGGGGGTGTTGAGCCTGGAGAAAAGGAGGCTGAGGGGAGACCTTGTGGCTCTGTGCAAGTCCCTTGGAGGAGGGTGGAGAGAGGTGGGGGTGGGTCTGTTCAACCAAGGCCCAAGGGACAGGACAAGAGGAAATGGGCTCCAGTTGTGGCCAGGGCAGTTGAGATGGGATGTGAGGAAGAATTTCTTTGCTGAAAGGGTTCTGAGGCATTGGAAGGGGTTGCCCAGGGCAATGGTGGAGTCCCCATCCCTGGAGGGATTGAAGAGTCGTGTAGACACAGTGCTGAGGGACATGGGTTAGTCATAGGGGACTGGTCAGTGTTGGGTTCATGGTTGGACTCGATGATCTGAAAGGTCTTTTCCAACCAAAGCAGCTCTGTGACTCTGTTCTGTAATTGTCCCAGTGAGCCGGGTGCTCGTCACCAGCACTGGCAGCCGGGCAGGACTCGAGTGCTGAGCGGAGTCTGACGGCTCAGCCCGTGCAGGTGAATCCCTCGCGAAGGGCTCAGTCAGTGACAATGACGTTCAACTGGGAGTTACAGTGACAACCTGAAGGAACAATCCCACGTGTGAGGAGTGTGCCCAGCCTGTTGTGAGTGGGGACTGGCAGCCGTGGCCTCCCAGTCAGCTGTAGGTCAGGACAGCCTTTCCCTGTACTGCGGGGTGTCCAGTTGCCTGGAATGCATTTGGCAGTGCCTGGATATTCCCGTTACTGATTTAGACCAGAAATGGCCGTGAGGAGCTGTTTTGATGTGGTTTGAAGGTACAGATGTCCCTTTCTATTCCAGTTTGATGCTGGAGCCTGTCAGAGGGGGTGAAACTGTGGACCCCCAGCCCAGCTTTAAGAGCCTGAAGCTAAGACTGTAGCGGTGGCAGCGATGACTTGAGCAGAGGAGGGGATGTGTGCTCTGCTAGATGGGCCAACAAGCTCGCCAAGGAATTTCTTGGGGGATGAGGATCTCCAGGAACAGCACTCGGCACAGAAACACCCCACACTGTGTCTCCCACGCTGTGTCCAACGAGCCACAATTGCTCAAGAGCTGTCTTTGATGGTGAAAGCTCCCCTTAAGCAGAGTCAGTTCTGCTGTGTGAGTCCTTTGCAGCGAAGCTGTCGTGCCTTTGCGGGGAACGGGTGAGCGGCTTTCTAAAAATGGAAGCTCACAGGATCTTAGCCTGAAATACCCACCAGGCAGACAGCACCCACGGACTCTCGGCCTTGCAGGGAAGAGGAGCACGTGTGCTCTCCCAGGCTGCACAAATCCACTGGTCCCTCGGGCAGTTTTGTTTGCTGATCCCAGCTTTGGGCAGCAAAGCTGTAAGTGAAGACTAAAATATGCTGTTTCGCGCGATTTGGCATAAAGGTGCAACAGGGCTTGTGCAGAGCTCCAGTGAAAGAGCCTTTTCCACCCTGTCTCGCAGTTGGTGTCTGTTTTTCCTGCTCTGTGTTGCACACAGTTTGGATTTAGAATCGTAGAATGGTTTGGGTTGGAAGGGACCTTAAAGATCATCCAGTTCCAACCCCCAACTTGATGTTCCTGACGACGCTGACTGCTTTGGTAACGCTTTCTCTGTTTGCAGGAACGATGCGGTTGTGATTTCTGGAAGGAAGCTGGCCCGGCAGATCAGACAGGAAGCTCGGCACGAGGTTGAGCAGTGGGTAGCAGCTGGAAACAAGAGACCTCACCTCAGCGTTGTTCTGGTCGGTGAAAATCCAGCCAGTCACTCCTACGTACTGAACAAAACCAAAGCGGCTGCTGATGTGGGTATGTCTTGTGCTCTGGTTTGAAGAAGTGGAGCAAGCCTCTGTTTTATCTTGATTTCCTTGGGAGTCCTCTAGGCTGGAGGCTGAGGGAAGCTTTTTTGGGCTGTATCCATCTGGCAGCTTTTCACCTTAGCTGTGTGGCAGCCCATGTTTGCCCCAACATTTGCTGTGACCCCTTTGGTGCCTTCCTTGTTGTACTGGGATGTTGTTAATAAACACGGTGCACGTGTGTGTTGTGCCATCCGAATCCTTCAGGGCAACATCCAGCTCTGCAGTTTGGCTTTGCAGCCTTCCTAGGGCCACGCAAAGCACAGACAGGGCTCTGATTTGTCTTCTTTCCTCAACTGCCTGGGGATGAAATCATCCTTCAGCAGCCTGGCTACCCTGCGACTCCTTCCAGTCCTGCAAGCCGAGGTCCTGCTCGGTGTTCAGCCAAGTATGTTTCTGGATAATGTGTGCTTGAAAGGGGCTAGGGGACAATAAATGGTGTAATTTCTCCTGGGGTTCTGTGCTGCCAAAGCAGCCCTTGGAGCTGAGATTTTCAGGCAAATGTGATAGTTTGACATTAGCAGAACCAGGACAGCTAACATCCCCTTCTTACTCTGTCAGGAGGGACCATAGAACATGTGGTTGCATCTTCACCATAGCACGCTTTGGTTAGGTTTCTCAAAGGCCTCTATACACTTGGAGGGTCTCTGCTTTCAAATTTTCTTTCCCAGCTTATAAGACTGATACTAAGAGTTGCTGAGCAAAACTTGTAAGACTTGGGAAGGTCTCCAGCCTGGAAGCTGCTCGTTGTTACACAAAGCACACAATCCTTGGTGCCTGCCTGTCAGATTTGGTAGAGCAGTGAAACAGCGGGGCTTAAATCTGTGTGGATTAAAGTTGCTGTCCCACTTGTGCACATGTGGGTCTCTAATGTGGCACTTTTGATGGTTTCACAGGAATCAGCAGTGAAACCATCCTCAGGCCAGCTTCTATTAGTGAAGAAGAGCTCCTGGATTTGATCAGCAAACTCAATAACGATGCCAATGTGGATGGTCTGCTAGTCCAGCTTCCTTTACCTGGTGAGTAGCTGGATTTCCATCTGTTTCACTTTTACATAAAGCTTTTCAGGGTTTGGATGTGCCAGAAGAAGCAGCATTAGCAGCACAGGAGCTATCCTGTGACATGAGGTGGCACTTTGCCATGATGCAGCTCCTCCATCAGCTGTCTGCATGAGTTCAGTTGCTGGGGAGGGTCATGGAAATCTGTTCTCGTGCAGGGAGTATCAGCTTCCAGAGCCAGAAGCTTGAACTCTGTTGTGACACTGAAGCTGCCTAAAAATACCCTCTGCATTAGCAGTGCTGTAGTCCCAAAGTGGTTCCAGTCCCCTTCTGCTGGGAGCTGTTTGCCTTGAGCTTGCTGGAAGTCTTGAGTGGTTTTGAGCTTCCAAACTCTGAAGGAGCTGGTGCAGCAGGTCAAGGCTCTGGCTGATTGCAAAGAACAGGTTTTTGGCTGATCCCCCAAGGTTAAAGCTTTTTATTCTCTTCCAGAACATATCGATGAGCGCAAGATTTGCAATGCTGTGACTCCAGACAAGGATGTTGATGGCTTTCACGTGATCAATGTGGGGCGCATGTGCCTTGACCAGTACTCCATGCTGCCAGCTACCCCGTGGGGGGTGTGGGAGATCATTAAGAGAACTGGTAAGCTGCTGCTGCTGCAGTATTTGGCTGGTGTCAGGTGTAACTCCAGCTTCTAGTTGTCTTAAGGCTCAATCTTGTCCTCTGCAGGCATCCCAACACTGGGGAAGAACGTGGTGGTGGCTGGCAGGTCGAAGAACGTGGGCATGCCCATCGCCATGCTGCTGCACACCGATGGCAGGCACGAGCGCCCAGGAGGTAGGAGCCTGGTGGCTGCAGAAGGAAGCCCTCTGCCTGTCACATCATCCTCTTTAGGCACCTAAACCAGTCCCAGGAGCACCTTTGGGACTCTGGCCCATCACATGGGCTGTGGAGTTAACTCTGCACATAGTCTTGTAACACTTCAGAGCCTTCTTCAGTGAGTCCTTGTCCTCTTCCCCACCAGATCCCTGACTCTGTAGGCTCTTCCATGGGGTTTGCCATCAGGCTCTGATGTTCCTGATAAATACACAGGTGGTCTTGAAGGAGAAGATTTAGAGAAGTGGCTGGGTTTGGGGTAGTACATGTGAATTAATGAGCCTCATGGAACCACTCTTGCAGGTGATGCCACGGTCACAATATCCCACCGCTACACTCCCAAGGAGCAGCTGAAGCAACACACAATCCGTGCGGATATCGTGGTCGCGGCAGCAGGTAAGACCTGACTCCAACAGCACAGACCAGGTGTGCTGAGGGTGCTGTGCTGCAGCTTGTGTGGTGTTTCTTGGGAATCCTTGTCTGCAGGAGACATTCCTGTCAGTATTGAATGTCCTGGGGCCTCCCTGTCTGAAAGCGCTCTGGCAGCGCAGGAGAACTTGGTGCTCTCATGACTGCAGCTGCTGTAGGTGAGGGGCTGTTGGAACCAGCCGGTGTATCCTGTGATTAAGCCCAGGAGCCACACACTGGATCTTACTAGCAGAGCTGTTGGTAGCTCTGCCTTTGAAATGTAAAATAATGTCTGGCAGGAGGGCTTGGTACGGCAGCGAGCACCTGATGAGATGTAGAGAACAGCTACAGATGGGCTCTGTGTGTACAGACAGTTCTGTATTTATGTGAGGAAAAAAAATCCCCAGCTAGCATGTGCTTACCTAGAGGCTGTCAAAATGCTGAGGGGCAGCTGCAGTGCCATCTTCAGAGCACAAGGAATCACTCAGAGCTGTGCTCTTCTCCAGCCTGTACCCTTGGCATGGAGACAGCTCATCAGCGGAGGAGTTGGGCTGATTGGAGGTTCTGTTTGGCAGCAGGAGTTGGGTGTGAGCCTGTGGGGAGGGAGGAGAGAAAATATCTGGCAGAACCAGACAAACACACCCCACCCTCAAAGGGTGGCTTGGCCATAAGCTGCTGCTCCCCACCCCTCTCTCCCTGCCACCCTGGGGGTTTTACAGCCCCTGGGTGAAGTCCTTGCCCCTGCCTAGCTGGGTTGTGGTGGTCTTGGACACTGCTCCAGCTTTCTGACTTATTGCAGGTGCAAAAACAGTTGCTGGAGCTGTGTGAGCAAACACAGCTGCAAACTTCAAATGCAAGCTTTGAGGTTTCCACTTGGAGAGGATCCTGTGGTTCCAGCTGCTTTGCCAGACCTCTTTCTGGGGGTGGATTCCAGTTCTTTACACTCTGAGGTTGTTGAGAAACCACTCCAATTCCCGATTGAGCTGAACATCAAAGAGTAGCGCTGGGTTGTGCAGCTGTGGGTAGATTTGCATTTCATAGAATGATGAGAGAATCATTTAGTTTGGAAAAAACCCTTCAGATTGAGTCCAACTATTTTGTGAGGCAAATCATTTAGTTTGGAAAAAACCCTTCAGATTATTGAGTCCAACTATTTTGTGAGGCAGGAAGGCCCAGGTGGGTCAAAACATAACCTGAAGTTGGGGTGAGGGGGAGCAGAAGGCTGTTTAGCCACCACCATGAGCATGTGGTTGTGTTTTCTTGCAGGCATACCCAACCTGATCACAGCTGACATGATCAAAGAAGGAGCTGCAGTTATTGATGTGGGAATAACAAGAGTGCAGGATCCTGTCACGGCCAAGTCAAGGCTGGTTGGAGATGTGGATTTTGAAGGTATGGAAAAGCTCCACATCTGGTTCTTTAAGCATTAAACATCAAGGGTACTGAGAAGGGGAGGAGAAAGTCCTGGTTCGTGTGACTGTGCAGACCCAGAGCTTGTGCTCTTTTTGCTTGGTTTATCCAATATTGTACCATACACAAGGGTGCAGCCTTCCTGGAATGTGCCGTGTGACAACTGTGTGCTGCACAGCAGAGGAGACTCATCCTCAGCCTGAGCACTTGGGTTGCTTTGCTTCTGCTCCAATTCATCACTCATTCCAGCTTTTAAATAAAAATCACACACAACTTACCTTCTGGCTTGCTCTTCACTGGCCTTGCTCACCACTTGGCTCTAGTGGTGCCCAGATGGGCTGTTGCCATGAGCCCTCCACCTCTGGGTGCCTGATGGAAGATGCTGGAACCTTCTCCTGGAAGAAAGAGAGTGTCAATGCTCCCACTGTTGGTACTTTATTGTGGCCACCCTCAAGAGCAGGTTTGAAGCCCACATCTAATCTTGGACTTGACATTTCTGTGCTCTAAGTCCAGATATTAAACCTTGCTTTTTGCTTTTCCCCCATCTTGGGCTTTGCATTGCTCTGTAGTAGAGATGGACAGATGGTGGTGTGCTCTTCCCTGGCTAACAGGGGGGAAAGTCCACCTTGAGAAACTACCAGCTGGTAATCCTGAGGGAATTTGAGCACTGTTAGACTTGGTTACAGCTTCCTACCTTGATAAGCCTTGCTGCTCTGGACTTGCACGCTAAGCTCTAGCTTTCCTTTCTGCAGGGGTGAAGAAGAAAGCCAGCTACATCACTCCAGTCCCGGGGGGAGTTGGGCCCATGACAGTTGCCATGCTGATGAAGAACACCATCATTGCTGCCAAGAAGCTGTTGAAACCCAAAGAGCTGGAAGCATTAACTGCTTAACGGGGGGGACTCTCTTTAGCACTGAAAACAACATTCCAAACCGACTCCCAAACAGGCCGATAGAAAATGCAATATTTTTATTTATTGTATTGGAAGTGGAATTTCCTATTCTGAGGTCATAGCTATTTATTGGAAGCTGAGACACATGCACATTAGTTGTACTAACGTGTAAGCATCTACACTCCTGGCCTACTCGTGCTAGCAAAGCTGTGTGATGTGTAAGCTAGCCCTCCTAGGAAGCCAGCCCCACTCTCCCAGGGAGGCGGCAGCGGTTGGGATCCTGGGTGTGCAGCTCTCCTGGGAGCTTGGCGTGGTGTTAGTGATCCCGTGGGAGGTGGAATGCTGCTCCCTGCTGCAAAAGCAATGGCCTTCATGGTTCTGTTCTCACAAACGCTCAGTCTGCCCGGACTGCTCATGTTTGACTCGTGCTGAAGTCTCCTACTCAGTGCTGGATGTTTTGTTTAAGATCTTCTGTAGAAGAATTACTTGAGGGGGGGGTGGGAAAAAGTGCCATATGTCTGTTCTCAGCCTGTGCAGGGCTCTGGGCAGTGACAGATCTGTTGTTACATGTTCTTCTAGTGTGCAGCTAAACTGTTTTTTTGCTATTTGGATGGTGACTTTTTTTTTTTTTCAAAAAGCCTTTTTTTCTAACCAAAGAACAGTGGGGTGGGGGCTGTTGGTGTCTACATGGGGCACACAGGTTTCCTTGACTGTAAATTGTCCAAGTACTTGGTGAATAATGGCAAGCTAACTCTAAATAAAGTAAGAGAAGAAAAAAACCAGCAAACCCTTACTTGTGTCCTAAAATTATTACTATACAAGTTTTTCACCTCTCCCCCAAAAGGGGAGCTGCCCCCAGCACTGCTTTAGTGAAGCTCTTGTGGTGTGTGCTCCCTCTTGTCCCTACAGAGCAGGGTTAGGTCTGGCTAAGACACAACTGCTCCAGTTGGAAGGAAGCAGGTCTCTTGCTTTCATGCCTGAACAAAAGCTGTTCAGCTTCTCAACTCTGTTTCCCAACTACATCGATGTGACAGTAGAAACTGAGTCCTCTAATGAGGACTAATTATCCATTGAACATTAACCTTACCTGGGGTCACGATGGGAAAACTCACACTCAGTATTTTTCTCTAGCAGTGAGGTGAGTCTTGGATTCCTCCTTCCTCTCTGGTGAAAAGCATGTGGCTGTGTATTCCCTGGAAAGCCTGATCCCGCCTTTCTGGGAGTGGGAAAGGTTTGTTGTGATGCTCAAGGGCTGTTGCTGGTGAGTTGGTACTAACCCCATGTTCGTGGCCCTTCTGGGAAGGGAAAACACTAAACAAGGAGGAAGGAAAGCTGAGGTTCAAGGACTCTGCCCCAAAAACACGCTGAGACTCATTGAAATGAGGTTTATTGGGTTGTATCACCAATAAATACAAAATGGCTAAAGTGGAACTGTAATGGAGGTGGTAAATCAGACTTTTCATATACAAAAAGTATAAACCATGTGTGAACCTTGCAAAACAGACAAATTCAGTGAAAACAAGCTGGATGCTAGAGTGGCTTCAGCTCTATGGAACATCTGCCAGAGTCCACAAAGCCTTTCTGGGGGTGTTGGGTTAGAGCTGACGAACCAAATAAAGCAAATTAACCTGTTGGATTAAAATCATAAACCTACCCGTACCGTGCTTCAGCTACCACACAGGAGATTGGTAAAAAACACTACAAAATAAACACAAAGTGTTCAAGTTGAAATAGTTCTTAATGTGACCGGTGAGTTACGTGGCGACAGGAGTAATAACGTTGTGTTCTTATCTCACCGCGTTTCCCCAGGCGGGGGTACTTGAACCAGAAAAAAATGGCTATAAATAGGAAACTGCATTCAAGTCTTTCTGTTGGATTCGGCTATTTACAGAGAGCGAGGGATCTGTCCCATGCAAAGGTTCAGACCAGTTGCAATATTTAACTGGTGTCCCAGAAACCCCTGTACAGCTGGGATAAATAGCAGGTAGGTTATTTCTGCTCAGGGGAAGGGTTGGGGTTCTGTGAGGCTTGAAAGACAGTGAAAACTAAAGAATCCATCTAGCAAAAACGAGTAAAAGAGAGAGATTTGGGAAGGTTGCTTCAGACCAGTGGTTAAACCTCAGCCCTGAAAGTTAAAACCCTTTAAAAGCCTCATCACTGCCCCGGCGCTGCTGGAAATGAGTGATGAGAGCTGGGCAGAGCCAAACCGGGCTCGGTGCCCGTGCTGGCTCCTAACCTGCTCCCTTCCCATCCTTTCCCCAAGCACCCAAAGGCTGCGGGGGGTGGGAAGAGCCCTTTGTGGAGCCAAAACACCGACGGAGACCAAGTGGGAGCTGCTGGACGTGATCCAGGTCCATGTGGAGGGACACACTTGCTGTCCCCTCCCTGTTACGAGCCGGTTGCTGTTAAACCACGCGTGGAAAGTGGGATGGAGGAACTAAAGTGGGTGCAAAGCCCCTTGGGGAGGGGCTGGGCAGGATCCTCCAGCGAGGGAACGGCTCGGGCATGGCTCAAGGGAGAGAGAAGGGGTTGGCATCAACCAGGGGTGGCCCTGGGAGAGCTGCAGGTGAGGACGTGGGGACGAGTGACCAAACGCCTTCGCTGCAGCAACCGTTCCCGCTTCCCTGCGGAAACCAAAGCCCCGATCCCTGCTCTGCTCTCCCACCACAGCCCGGCTGCTCTTGTCCTCCAGCAGCAACAACCTTCAACCTGAGCTGCTTTTCCTCCTTCCCTGCCCAGGGCATCACCCCTGGCCACCGGCTCCTTTACAACCTGGCCACGGACACATCCACCCCGGGGCGAGCAGAGCTGGGTCCTTCCTGCATCCCCACCGGCACGTTGGGGATGCTGCACCCCAAGAAAGGATTCCCATGGGCTTGGACCAGCATTGTGCCAACACAAAGCCCCACACACCATCC